TTCAGAGTGCCTAAGGTCTGACTATGCTCTTTTGTTATGGCTCATTCATGCTGGTAGTTCTAACATTTATTGCCATAGCATGGTGAAGAAGTCACAGTTTTCCCTAATTACTTCCCATCCCTTGTTCTTCCTAGAGCCCTTATAAAATCTCTCTGAGCCCCCTCAAACATCTGTTGAATCAAGCAGACAGATACCCGTCTACAATGCAAAACAAACACCCATTTATTAGAATCACAGAACAAAAGCTAGAACCGAAAAAACCTCCCTGCCCCTTACCCTCAGGGTCTTGTTCAGGACATTCTCAGGATCTGAAGAGATGATAAGAAACTTTCCCATAGTGGACACCCCCTCTTTGGTTTGATATACACAGTGAGAGTGAATTATAGGAGGATTAGTCTGTAGAGTCTTATCTGAGGCTCTCCAAGTCAAAACATTCTTTTCTCACAGCAACAGGCTTCATCTGTGTCTTTCCACTCAACTGCACTGAGCTTTCCCAGGGGCTATTGTGAGTTTCCCACCAGGCTCCTACTAGGTTTTGGAAGGTCTAAATGAAGTATAGCGAGCCCTGGTGGTGCAGTAGTTAAGTGCTTGGTTGCTAACCAAAAGGTTGGTGGTTTGAACTCACCAGCCACTTCACAGGAGAAAGATGCAGCAGTCTGCTTCTGTAAAGGTTACAACCTTGGAAGCCCTATGGGGCAGTTCTACTATAAGTCAGAATCGACTCCACTGCAGTGTTTTTTTTTTTTTTCCAAATGAAGTATGTATAGCTGTTACATCTGTAAATAGACTGAATTTTGCCTTCTTTGAGAAGTGTACAAACTGTAGACTGCTAATACACACATAGAGCTAAGCATGTGATTTATAAATGAAGTTAACTTCCTCCCCCCCCATTTAAACCAACTCTTGGAATAGCCTTTTATTTAAACCTGAAGAAATGGCAGCCTCTACAAACCTTGAAAATTTGGGGCCTATGTTTAATCTCATAAAAATCTTTTTAGGATTTCAATTACAACCTGGCAATATAATATAATTACTTTCTACACATTTCGTGGTTGTATGATTCCTGCCACCACTCCTATCCAGCCCCCATTATTTTGTAAACATAGTTTGTACTTGTACCTGCCATAGCTTTCAATGGATTATCTTATTTTTGGTAGCCAGTTTTTCACTTTTATCTATATAGCGCTCTCTTTGTTGGTAATACATCTCTCTTGCTTTTAGATTCTGTTTTTCTAAGGGTATGGCTCATTGAAAATAAGCACACGATGGGATACTTTCAGGATCTGTATCACTTCTTTTCATTGTTTTTAAATCTCTTTTGGAGGGCTTCTTGATTGATACATATTCTCTTTTGAACAGTGGTGAAGAACACCTTGGTTTGTACTTTCAAATCCTGGAAAGCCCTTCCTATTTTCAGTGTTAACCATGCTGTCATGCATCAACAATTACTTTGTAAACATTATTGAAATTATGAAATTAGTATGCTTGCTCTTTTTGTGGATATAACCTCAAAATAATTCTGAACTTTAACAGCAAATTCTTTGTGATGCATAATTGGCTAGAGTCTACACGAGTAAAATGGTTTTACTCCTTTTATAAAAAAATTAGTGTTCACCAAACTTCAACTGAGTATGGCCATCGAATAAAGTGATGTAATTAAAAATCAGCATGACATCTTTGTTAACATCCTCAGGATTTTTGCCATATCTTCATACTACCCAAACTATTCATTTCTTATGAATTTTCATAAAATTGACCTATCTTTCAAAATCCAATACCTCGTTTAGCTGCAACTTAAACAATATAAATGAAATCGACTGCTTTAATGTTGATTGTTTTTTTTCCTAATTCATGTTAAATTAATCATGCAAACGTTAAAATAAAATGTTTTACCATGTATCAGCTAAAATCATCCTGTATACCAGTAGTGGTTTGTGTACCACCCTTTAGAAAAGACAAATTATTGAATGATCCGTGACTGAGGAAAGAGTCCAGTAGTAATATGTTTGTTTTCTATCTTTTTATTTTACACAGCATGTTTTTCAGATTCTAAGAGCAAGTATTATTTCATTTGGTAATGGATATGGCTAACATGGCTTAGTGGGAAGATATCCACTGATAAGTCTGAATTTTTGCTGAATAAATGTCTTAATTTTTTAAATATTTTATAGTATAAACATAACTATATAAATAAATATATTCTTAAAATAAGGTAGTTTATATATTACAGTAGAACAAGATAAGATGTTTCATTAAGGTTAGACAATTCTCAGATAACTCTTAAGATTTATTTTTCACTCTCGGAAATAGGTTTCCTAGCACTTCACAGGGAATTGCACTTCACGGGGAATTGCATAATAGAATGATAATTTTTTAACTGCAAAGCTTTTGACTTAGAATCACTCCCTCTTGGTGATAAATTTAAAAATTTTCAACACTCTGTTGACATAGGGTCTTATTTGCCAAAGGGTTTGCATCCAAGTGTTCTATGTATAAGTTTATGTTCTTAACTGAAGCACTGTATGGTGATTAGGAGGTCTTTATGAGGTGGCTCATTATCTTGACAAGCTGTCATCTTATGCTTTGGTGGTTTAATGATAAGTGTTTTTATCTTGCTAAAATTTCAAAGTAATGATGTTATCAGTGGAAACACTCCAGTGTTTTCAGTGGCGGTGTTGCCAAGCAACTTGGTTTTTCAAGAATGTCTAAATGACATGCAGCTTCAGTAAATATTTGACCAAAATTTGCCTTCCCTTTTTTATCTACAAGAGTAGAAAGAGGACTGCTCATGTGTTAAGTCGATAGAAGCTTCCAGTTTATACTAGTTACATTAGTTTTTATTATAGCAAACTTGGATTTCTTATTTTTATATTTGAATATGTTATGGTTTCTATAGCTACTGCAGTTCAGACTCCACATAGTATATCAAAAGCAATAAATAAATGAAGATGTGAATTAGAGTTCTCAATACCGCTCTTCAAGAAGCCTTAGAGGCAATTATTTCTTTTAATATCATACTATCTTTTTCATCTATGTACTCTTTCTGTAAGCTGCCTTGACATTACAATCAGGTAAAGTACAAGTCACTAAATAAAGTTTAAAATCTTTCCAGTGTGTGCGAATTATATTTCTATGTACGTTTTAATGTAATCTGCATTTCCTGTTTCTACTTATATGGTACAAACTTCTGTAGACAAGGTCTTTCCATTATTTATTATATTGTTGTACCCCATAGGTCATGGATGGGCAAAGAATAATATTGTTTATTGTAATGAGAGAATAATTCTTGAAAAATACCTTTTAAACTAAGATATTTTTTATCTAGAAAATGCAGAAGGTAAATATTTGTGTGTTGTAAAGTTTGGAAGAGAAAAATAGAAAGCCAAATTTTATTTTCACTACTCAGAACAGATTAAAACAATGGGGTAATAAAGCTGATGGAGGCAGCTTTTGATGAAAGTTTGTCAACTCAAAGAAGACCTGAGAGTTGAAAGTTCCCACTGATCACAGCCATCAAATACACTAATTCATTTAAAAGCCATTGCGCCATCATCAGGAAACAAAATAAAATTTGGTTAGATTTTCTTAAATATTTAATTACTATGTTGTCGTTAGGTGCCATGGGGTCGGTTTCGACTCATAGCGACCCTATGTACAACGGAACAAAACACTGCCTTGCCTGGTCCTGCGCCATCCTCACAATTGTATGCTTGAGCTCATTGTTGCAGCCACTGTGACAGTTCATCTTATTGAGGGTCTTCCTCGAATAGCTTAAATCGTTCAAATGTGATTGTACTGACCGAATTTTTCATGTTTTACTTCAGATTTTTTAATTCTAAGATTTGTGCATGTAGTTCTTTGCTTAAAATAAACGCTGCCTGTTTATTAATGAAGTTCAGTGCCTACAAATGGAAAATAAAATTTTTTTGTTATAGATGGTGTGCTCAGTTTTATTAGTTAATGCTTCTCTCTGCAGCATTTCACTTTTCTTCAGTGATTCCCTTTTTTGGTGGTTTATTGTTATTTTAAAATAAGCAAAATCTTGCAGGAAACGTTCTTGATTAATTACTGCCATATGGATCTTTCCTTCATTTACTATTTACTGAGCGCCTACTATATTGAAAGTGTTGTAGGTGGTATCAAGTCATTTAAAACTTAGTCCTGATTATCAAGAGTTTGTAAGCTAGTGAGAGAATTTTTTCCTCTACTGAGAATCTGTGTAGATTTCATTTACCATCAGTGATGTGGGTCTCACTGAAGCACAAGAACCTGTGCCTAATATTCTAATTTATACAATATAATTTGTTTCCAATAAGGTATTAACAACACTGTTGTAAGCATAGGAGATCTGGAGTGAGTCCTATCTTCACCAGCAACTAGCGGCAACTCTTTGGCAATTCACAACCTCTCCAGCTAGACCTCAGCTGTTCATCTATAAAGCAAAGGCTTTGAAGATGATTTCTGATGAGGATAAAACCAACCCTAAAACTCCATGATTCTGCTTTTCTTGCATTCCGAATCAAAAAAAAAAAAAAAAAAGATGATTTATGGAATAAAGCCCTGCACTAAGTACGGGTCGTTGAAATGTATGCAAACGATTCGAAAGCTCTAAGAGAAATCTGAGCAAAGGTAGCAGAAAGCAGCCCAGAGAAAATAAGTGACCGACGAGTCATCTCTAAACGGACAGCGCTCCAACCAATTTCACAGCACAGAAATTTATGGCCACTAGGCTTACTGATTTTCTGCCCAGAAAGATGTCTCTTTTTCTCCCTAAATTGTGGCATGAGATCAGCTCCCGTCGACGCAGCTCGCAAAGTGCAAGGGAGCGAGCGGGAAACACACTCTCACCGACGCTTCCCCTCCTCCTTGCTTGCTCCTCCTTCCTACAGAAAAATGCGTATCCAGGCAACGGCGGGCCATGGCGTCACTTCCTGCCATTTAAACTCCGGTCTCCACCCCCTCGCTGCCCCTTCTCTTCGCTTCCACTCCCCCTCCCCTCGATGGTGGGCTTCATTCACGCTTCTCTGGGCTTGGAGACGGGGCAGAGGTCCGGCGCGCCGCGCGGCGGGGAAACCGGTGGGCGCGGCGCACCTGTTGTTTGCAGGAGCCACCACCCTTAGTCCTGCTCTCGGCTGGCGGCGGCGGTAGCGGCCGCCGCGGAGCCGACCCGGCAGGTGGCGAGCGGCCGTGC